GCATGTACGGCGCCTGTGTGATGCTCCACGGAGCAGCTGGAGTGTCACAGAGGCTTGTGGAAGTATCATTTGACGATAGATGGCACACACACGCTGCGTGCGTGCATGTGGGTAACTCCGGGGCCGTTCCAACCACTACGGTTGGAATGGAATCTGGAACACTACAGCACTAAACTAAAAGGAAACTAAACAAAAGAAAAAAAGGATCCATATAATAATAGCAATAGCACTTAGACTTATATACCGCTTTACAGCACTTTACAGGCCTCTCTAAGCGATTTACAGAGTCAGCACATTGCCCCCAACAATCTCGGTCCTCATAATGATACAAATATAGTTAATGCCTACGCTTTTAAATGTGGACCATATTGAAGTATATTGTTCCATCTTTTCATCTTTAGATATAATCACATCTTTAAAATCTATAAAGAGCACATATCTTGAACCTACAGGAATTGCTGCCAGAGTCTGAGTAATAGTGCTTGCATTAGAGTTTGGAGTATATGAGGGTTTTCTATTTTATACTGTATTTTAATATTTTAAGCATCCTTATTTGGATTCTCAAGACATAGGACAGAGCTCAGTTCAATAGCAACTGACATGTGAGTAATTTTTACTGAAGACCATGAGATATTTTTTCTGAGTGGATAAGTGAAAAATAATTTTGCTGACTGATGAAATGGGCCAAAGGTTTTCTAGCAATAGCAATAGCACTTAGACATATATACTGCTTTACAGCCCCCTCTAAGTTTACAGAGTTAGCCTATTGCCCCCTACAATCTGGGTCTTAATTTGACCAACTCAGAAGGATGGAAGGCTGAGTCACCTTTGAGCCTAGTGGGATTTGAACTGCCAGATTGCAGGCAGGCAGCAGAAGTAGCCTGCAGTACTGCACTCTAACCATTGCGTCACTGTGGCTCATTCTAAATACATGAAAAGATGCTATATGTCTCTTTCACATTACCTCTGGAAGCAAGTCAAATTTTCCTTCTTTGGTCTGGTTGTAGCATTTTTCGAAAGTCTTCTCCAGATAGGCAGAACTAAAGTGAAAGGCATAGGCAGTGGCCAGCTGAGGAAATAACTTCTGCTGCTGGGTCTGATAGTCCAAAATCTTAGCTTCTGGATCACTGAGGAAAGGAAATATTGAGGGTTAACCATGATGAATGGAAACTTTGCCCACATATCTTCAAACTATCTTCACAATAGGAGCATTCTACTTGATTACACTTTTGGCCTCCATTAGCAAACTTAATGCAAACCACAAAATCTCAGCTTCTTTTCCCTCTTTTTCACAATAGGAAAATGGAAAGATTGAGTTACATTTCTTTATTTCATCTAAGACAGCAGATTAGCATGAGACATAGCCATGGGTGATACAGTTTGGTCCTCCAATAGACTTGCCTCATCCCAAACTCAAACTTGAGTGTCAAACTCAAGGCCTGCAGGCTGGATCCAGCCCTTAGGTTGCTTAGATCTGACCTGCGGGGCCAGCCTGGAAATAGCAAAGGACTGGCCTGCGGTGCCTCTGCTAGGAAAAATGGGACATTGGGGGGGGGGGGCTGTGTGCACAAACACACACCTCCGCATCCCATTTTCAGCCTGGATGGTCTCCTGTAGCACTCTGCCAGTTAAAATGGGTCACCAAAGTGCTGCAGGACACGTCCGTCCCATCTGCCGTCCATTCCGTCCCGTCCGTCCCCCCAGCTGGTCCATAGAGGCAACTACAAGGCTGATCCAGCATGGGACCCTCCTGAGTTCCATTTTCACTGGCAGAGGATTGCAGGAGGCAGACCCAGTCGAAAACGGAGATTGGGAGCCCATTTTCACTGGCAGATGCATCTCAGGTTGATCCTTCGCTGTTTCCAGGGTGGCCCTGTGGGCTAGATCTAAGCAACCTGCAGGCCAGATCCAGCCCGCAGTCCTTAAGCTTGACACACCTGCCCTAGACATAGAAATAGCAAACTGATGTCCAGCATAGCCAAATCTGAACCAAAGCAGGATATGCTACAAAGAGCATTAATAATAAATAGCCTTTTAGTGGTAGATTCTTCAATTTCTACTATACCATCCAGAGCAATAAAATCAAATATTGCATTCAATTCTATGAAGGCTGCAAAAAAAAAGCCTTTAAGGCTTCTTAATCGAAGTTGGGAGAATTAATCTGTGACTANCAAAGGTTTTCTAGCAATAGCAATAGCACTTAGACATATATACTGCTTTACAGCCCCCTCTAAGTTTACAGAGTTAGCCTATTGCCCCCTACAATCTGGGTCTTAATTTGACCAACTCAGAAGGATGGAAGGCTGAGTCACCTTTGAGCCTAGTGGGATTTGAACTGCCAGATTGCAGGCAGGCAGCAGAAGTAGCCTGCAGTACTGCACTCTAACCATTGCGTCACTGTGGCTCATTCTAAATACATGAAAAGATGCTATATGTCTCTTTCACATTACCTCTGGAAGCAAGTCAAATTTTCCTTCTTTGGTCTGGTTGTAGCATTTTTCGAAAGTCTTCTCCAGATAGGCAGAACTAAAGTGAAAGGCATAGGCAGTGGCCAGCTGAGGAAATAACTTCTGCTGCTGGGTCTGATAGTCCAAAATCTTAGCTTCTGGATCACTGAGGAAAGGAAATATTGAGGGTTAACCATGATGAATGGAAACTTTGCCCACATATCTTCAAACTATCTTCACAATAGGAGCATTCTACTTGATTACACTTTTGGCCTCCATTAGCAAACTTAATGCAAACCACAAAATCTCAGCTTCTTTTCCCTCTTTTTCACAATAGGAAAATGGAAAGATTGAGTTACATTTCTTTATTTCATCTAAGACAGCAGATTAGCATGAGACATAGCCATGGGTGATACAGTTTGGTCCTCCAATAGACTTGCCTCATCCCAAACTCAAACTTGAGTGTCAAACTCAAGGCCTGCAGGCTGGATCCAGCCCTTAGGTTGCTTAGATCTGACCTGCGGGGCCAGCCTGGAAATAGCAAAGGACTGGCCTGCGGTGCCTCTGCTAGGAAAAATGGGACATTGGGGGGGGGGGGCTGTGTGCACAAACACACACCTCCGCATCCCATTTTCAGCCTGGATGGTCTCCTGTAGCACTCTGCCAGTTAAAATGGGTCACCAAAGTGCTGCAGGACACGTCCGTCCCATCTGCCGTCCATTCCGTCCCGTCCGTCCCCCCAGCTGGTCCATAGAGGCAACTACAAGGCTGATCCAGCATGGGACCCTCCTGAGTTCCATTTTCACTGGCAGAGGATTGCAGGAGGCAGACCCAGTCGAAAACGGAGATTGGGAGCCCATTTTCACTGGCAGATGCATCTCAGGTTGATCCTTCGCTGTTTCCAGGGTGGCCCTGTGGGCTAGATCTAAGCAACCTGCAGGCCAGATCCAGCCCGCAGTCCTTAAGCTTGACACACCTGCCCTAGACATAGAAATAGCAAACTGATGTCCAGCATAGCCAAATCTGAACCAAAGCAGGATATGCTACAAAGAGCATTAATAATAAATAGCCTTTTAGTGGTAGATTCTTCAATTTCTACTATACCATCCAGAGCAATAAAATCAAATATTGCATTCAATTCTATGAAGGCTGCAAAAAAAAAGCCTTTAAGGCTTCTTAATCGAAGTTGGGAGAATTAATCTGTGACTATGGCATCCATGGGAAAATCAGATTGTAGGGCATCTGGATCCCCCCAAATATTTCTAAAATATTTTTTTTCTACTTGAGCAGAAACATAACAATTCTAGGCAATAGTGTTCAGAATAAGTGCTGAAAATTGTAGTCTAGCAACATACAAAACAGTACCAATTTCCTTCATGGTAGTGGATCTGCGTACTTGGGAGACCACCTCCTGCCAATTACCTCCTTGCGACCAATTAGATCGCATAGATTAG